TAAGGATTTGTGTTGGTTGCCAGCAAGTTACTTCATTAAGTTACAAGTTTTTAAATAATAATTGAAAACTCGGGGAGCAGTCTTCTCCATATTTTGATTTTTTTTTTTTCTTTCTTTGCTAAATGGCTGCCTTCTGTGAAAATAATTTTTCTGTATTTCATGCTTTTTGTTTAGTCTAACAATTGGTATTTCAGCCAGTTGTTTTCCCCTTTCCGTGTTTCTTTAAAAACACAAACAAACCCTCAAGTGGGCTGTTTTCTTTACTCCTTGTCTCTGTGTATTTGAATACAATTCTTTGTGCTACTAGTCTCAAAGGTAAAATGTAACAGAAACAGAAATCTTTAAAAATGGGGAAAGCTTATAGAAACCAAAGAGATCAGATCAGGGGTATTACTCAATTCTTGGAGGAGTATGCAGCATGAGGTCACATGCAAAACGTGCCATGGACTTTTCTTGGACTTTTTTTAATCTGCATCCTTTGAGTCTGGTTTTATAAACTCAGCATTTTGTTTATTTACTTAAGACAAACAAAACCTTTCTAGCTTGAAAACTTACTTTTTTTTTTTTTTTTTTATCCACAGAGATCCCAACACTTTTTTATTATTTGATGAAAGGTTATTAATTGAGAAGCTCCAGGCAGGGTTGTTGGATTCTGTGGACTACCAGAGATGGTACAGTGCTAGAGTCCGTTCTGATAGAGAAATCACAGCTGTATTTCTTAAGATGTTTATGTATTTAGCACTGCTGAGACTAATCTGAAATTCCTTCTTCTTCCCAGTGATCTAATTCCTAGTATGCCAAAGACCAGGAATGGAATTTGTTCAGGAAGTAGGATCCTTGTGCCTTTTTTGTGGATGGAAACCTCTTTGGTGTGTGCAAAGATGACATTTCACAAAGGGTGAATGGCATTGCCAGTGGTAGTGGTCTTCAGCTGCCAGTGCCCCTCTGTCTAGTGTGCATTTCCTAAAAGGGATCATCGATTTCGTGTCGTGCCTTCATTCAGGGCTATGGAGGTGGGTCATGGGTTTGGGTGGAATGTCTTTAAAACTTTGTTTTCCCGGGCCAGTTTAATGTAACCTAATCTTCTTCAGCTGGTGTTCTTGAGGAGTCCAAATAAATAGAAGTATGTGTTGATTATCTTCGCTGTTAAGAAATTAATTTTATGAGAAGCCACAATTCTTGGTGGAGAGGCAGAACAGGACATTTTTTAGCATGCATCATATCCATATCTTTTTAGAAAGAAGGGTTTGGACCGTCTTTTCTTGTATTTGGTCACACAACCTCCTTGAGGAATTTGCTTACATACTGAAGTAACATTTGAAAATATTTACATCTATTTAGCTGGCCATAGTGTGATAGATGCATTTCCTGTCTCCTTCAGTGTAAGCATTCTGTCTTCCTCTTCTTTCTCTCTCCTCATTCCTTTCATTTGTTTGTTTAGTTTTTCCTCAGCTGGAACTAGAAAAATAGCAAATATCACATGATCAGACCGTGTAATTCTTGAACCAATTCAGAAACTTCTAACACAGCTGTAATCAAGAGTTGCTGTGCTCCTGTTGGACATGGAGTTCCAGCTATGTTCCAAGGCCAGGGGTTCATCAGCTCATCTTGTTTTCATAGTGTCTTGCACTTAAGGAGATCCCACCTGTCAAAATGACATGATGTATCATGACTCTTCGTATAAAGTCAGATGTGTAAATATATTTGCTGTTACTAGTGTATGGGAATTGAGTACTATATACATGAAAGCTGCTATTGGCAATGACTGAACAGCAGTAACTGAAGGAGAGCATGATTAGACCTGCTAAAGGTGTCCTCCCATGCCTTTAATTGAACTGGTAGTATTTGCTGTGAGGCTGACAGTCTACAATAAAAGGAAGAGTTGATGGGGCACTTACTTTCTGATCCATCTCTTTAATACAAGTTCTTGTCAATTGGGGAAGGAGGGATAGTTTATGGTTTTATGTCAGAGTTTCCCCCCACCTCAAATGGGATTTGTTGCTTTACAAGCTTATGAGATATGAAAAAGCAGATTGAGGACCGGAAGCTGTAAGTGATGTATAAAACAAAGACCCTTCAAAGATCTGTGGCATCTTGATATTAATTAAAATGTAAACAACTGTACACTTTAGCCACTCTGGTTGTGTCTTCATTAGTGTCTTGTTTGGAGCAGGTCTGTAGTTTTGAAGCAAATCGCAGTCCTCAGATAAGACAATCTCAAGCAGATGAAGTTTTCCAATGTTTACAATACACAATTTAAATTCCATGTGGAAGGCAAAGTGGCAAAATTTGTCTCTTATAGCAGATTTTGTAATATTCAATTACATGAGCTTGGTTGTAGACATTTTTATTTTTTTTTAAACTCTTGAGTTTGCATTACTAATTTCTTTTTAAAAATAGTTTTAAATTCCAGTCCTTTGAGGGTGACATGCTGTCCCTGATCAAGACATGATGAAAGAATTAACCATGGTGTCGTTTTCATATTTGAGATTAAAAGAAGACACGCATCTGCCAAATGCAAGCAGAAGGACAAATCTTGTTACTTTTTCTAAATCCTCTGAAAGCAGCTGGATTTTTAACTTATCCAAATGGTGGAATTTTAAGCTTGATGTCCACATAACAGTGTAGCGAAGCACAGAAAATCTTAAGAATTCAGGATGTGTGCTAGTCTCACAGGAGAAAAGTCAGAAGAAAAAGCAACTGCATTTTCTTTTTAGTGGAATAAGTCCATTACTTCCTTTTAACTTCACCCTCATTCAGGCACTTGTTTAAAAACTGCAGATGTTTACAGTTACTGACTATGAATTATTTCCCTAATTTATTCTGGATAAATTTATTGTCTTAATGAGGTTTTCCTGCATGAAATCTGAGCAGAATTTAAGGATGCACAGTGTAGTGTAATTATATCCTTTCTGCTGTCACCACTAGCTCTTTAACTACCTTAACCCAATTGGTGCTTTCACTGTAACTATAGGAGCATGAGAATTGGGAGCTGGAATTATGTGCTTGGACCTGGATGATGTAGAGGGGATTTGTCTCTTTGTGTCCTAACAGTCACGATAGCCCTGGCTGGCTTACCACAACAGCTTACTGTGTGATCAGCATAGTCTTGGATTCCAGGCACACTAATGGAGCTAGCAAGATGAAGCTATTTACTAGTGAAGCACTAAGAAAATAATGTTGTTTGGTTTGGTGCATAGTTCTGTTGTAAGCAGCATTCAGGATTACAAATGAGGCTCAAACGTAAACTCTTGCAATGCTGTGCACCATGCTTTGGTAATTTGTTAGGCTGGCTTTAAAGGCAGACTGTACTTTCACTAAGACTGCTTCTTCCATGTGGAAATAAGAAACATAATCAAAGAAGCAGCAATATATGCAGGTATGTAGTAAGTACATTGTCATCAAATACAAAGGGGAAATGCTTATTCATGCATTTCAGTTCTGTACACTTCTTTTTGTTACAGAGATGTGTACCTACAAACAGCAGTATGATTTTACAAAGCTGGCTTTGTTTGAAAAAGGTGTAGCTCTCCATGGGGTGCTTCATGCAGGATGTTTTGCAGTCTGGTTTATGAAATTGTGAGATGTGTAAATCTGGGGGGAAAAAAAGCCCACAAAGTGAATATATATGTCTAAAATGATGATAGCTTGGATAGCTTCACTTGGTGAATGGTGGACAGCAAGGCTGTATGCAGCTTTAATCTTAATGTTTGGCTTTGAGTTATACCTATTACAGGCTTATTATTATAAGCATACTGGCAATGACAGTTTGTAATGTCTAATACAAAGAAATTAAACAAAATGTGTCCCTAGATGGGTTTAAAATACAGGTGCTGAATTCTAGTTCTGTGTAGCCTGCTGACTCAATATGTGGCTAGAAGAAAGGAGATGAGCAAATGTTGAACGATGGTAGATACATTTGGCTTATGAGAAGTGTTCTGCCTCTGGCACTCTGGATCTCGAACTTCATCACATCCAAGAAATGTTAACAGCTCGGCCCCTCGGGCTTTAGCAGCTCTGACTCTTTGTGGGTTTTGTAATTGACAGCTCCACCATCAGTATGCGGTTGTGATTGGTGTTCTGTGCCAGTGAAATGCATGAGGGTTTCAGCCTACTATTCTTTTGCAGAAACACCATGATGGGCATCTGAGTGACATTTTAATTTGATAATGAAAGTGCCATTAAATCAGAAAAGAGAGAAATGCCTGTGTTTGTGGCACAAGATACTTTGTGTGACCACTGAGGTCATTTGAGAAAGGCCTGCTGTTGAAATAGTTATACAAGTTTGCCAGCAATGACTCACTACGTGGTGGCTGCAGATAAATTCCAGTTGCTTTCTACTTGTTTTTGAAGATTTTGGTATTAGGGGTTTCTGTATGTTGCTTAAACAATAAAAATCCAGTATCACTTTAGTTTATTTGATAAAGATGAAGATTTCCCATATTTCTTCATATCTGAAATGCTGCAACAAACTGTGGTCTGTACACCCTGCTGTCCCTTTTGCCTAGATCAGAAGAAGATGCATTTTAGTATTAAGACCTTTTTTGTCAGCACAGGCCTTTCCTTCCTCTCTCTGTTTCTAAAGAGATCCTGACTGAGTCAGAACACAAGTGCAAGTCTTTGGAATTAAAACTTATAGATGCTCATCCCTTAGATCCCTGCCCATGGCAGGGAGGTTGGAATTAGATGATCTCCAAGGTCCCTTCCAACCCAAACAATGCTTTCTCATCTCGCTCATTTAAAGTGTATTTCAGATATCTTTAACCCATTATTTGTTAATCCTTTATTTTATTATCTTTATTATCTTTAGCCTTTTATTTGTTTAATCCTTTGCTCGTTATTCTCCTGTGATGCTATATTGCAACAAATACCTGTCTGTGTTTGCTATTATTCCTCACAGCTGTTTTTCATTGAAGTGAGAAGGAAAAAAAAAATTATGATGATTGCAAAAGACAGTTCATAGCCAGCAGAGTTCCGACTCTTTACTTCTTTTTTCACAGGCCTCCAGAATTGGCATCAAAGTATGCAAATTTCTCAGAGGGAATGTGCAAGCCTGGTTATGCATCAGCGCTCATGACTGTCATCTTCCCAAAGTAAGTAATTACTTTACTGTTTTTTTTTCCTCTCTTCCCCAGTGTCTTCTCATCCTTCAGGGTGGGTGATCTGCAGAGATTGTCTTGAAAAGTGTCGCTGCTCTCTCACTTGATTGGTTCAAGGGGAGACCAGTGTTGAAAAACTGGACTCTTTGAGTGGTCAGTGGCAATGGCTTAATTGGATGTCAGTCTGACTAAGAGCTTGCTCAGAGTAGAGTTCTGTGTGTTGAATAATAAAACAAATTGTATTGTTAGTGCATGATACAGATGTATGGTCAAGCTCCCTGCTGGTACCAGGTGATGCAGTCCTTGGGAGGCTTCTGTCATGAAGCGGCAGATTAAATTATCTGGAGTAGTAAAGTGTGATCTTTTTATATTTGGGAGAAGAGTGTGACGTATCCATCTGGTGCCTGTAGACTTTGCGGTACTGTTTTCCAAAGAGTCTAAAACATGTTATTAACAAGTTGTGTATCTTACTCTGTTGAGAAGTTATTGTTAGCTAGATGCAGTACTGTTTGATAGCTCTCAGAAATGAGGAATGTAATTGTAAGAGATCAACCAAAACTTACCTTTAAATTTGGCTTGTAACTTTAGAGTCCAGTGGGGCTTCTGCATTTCAAGGAGTTTGTAGGATTGCTGGAAGAGAGTTCAGAAGATAGATTGGCAAAAACATTACATTGTTGAAGCTCAAGGATCTCAGTTTGGTTCCTCAAATGGAAAATTTGACCAAATGATTATTACGACCTTTGTACAAGCTTCTAATGCATGTGCAAAGATGTTCTAGTGCAGTGACCTCTTTGGCAAATGAAGTTGTAGATTTTTTAACACAGCTGGTACTTTTCTAGAAGATGTATTTTACTTCTTTTGATGAAGAAATTTCCATGATTTGCACATAGAGAGATTAGATTGACCATGGCCTTCAGGCCAAGCCTGAAATTGTTGATATCTTTTTTTCTTTGGTTTTGGGTTTTTCTCGTTTTTTTTACGAGCATGGTATCTGCAGACTTTAAAAATAAAAACCTGACATTGCCTTGTAAGCAGCAGATATTACAGCCAGGTCTTAAAAACGAAACACTAAGTGTTGAGAACATGTTCTCCATCACCACTATAAACAAAAAAATTATCAATATCATCTGTGAATTGTGAAACTCTGGGTAGAATATAAATAAATACTAGAACTGAAGGTTGATACATTATTGTCCTCTTCTTTTAAGAACTTTGAGTGCTTTTAAATGTGTTTGTGTACATGCTAAATGTAAATAGTACAGAAGAGGGAATATAAGGTGATCTGTGGTAAGATGTCTGAAGCTAAAGCCTTCCTTTCTGTATACAGCTGAATCCTAATTGTCCTTTTCAAGGCATGGCTGTTGGTACATATTGATTCTGCAGAGGTAAATTATATATGCTGAAGAAGGAGGACTGTTTAGTACAGTTATTAAGGCCAGAAAAAACCTCAACACATTAATAGTCCCCTATGCTGATTTGTTTCATGACACGGGACAAGATGTTTTCTTTCAGTAAATTCATCATGGATCACAGACTAGTTAGCTTGATTTAAAGATTTCAGTTAATGGAGAATCTCATCATAATACTTTGTTACATTATTCCTATGGATAAATGCATTATTGCAAAAATATTAATCTTTAATTCAAAGTATAATTAAGACTTTGGCTTCAAGAAGCCAGCTGGAATCTGAGGTGTTACTTATTCTCTTCCTCCGTACCTACTTGCAGATCACTGTTCAGTCATCTCCCAGTAGCTAGCTGCATTGAACTAAGACCAGGCAAACATGTTGTAACTTGGCCTTAGTCTAACTAGGTGGTGGTTGTCTTGTTCATACGTTTAAAAATTAATACTCATGGCTCTAAAGGGGATTTATGGTCAGTTGCTTCTCTAACATGAACCCTAAACATTATTAAGGTTGACAGTCTTTTCCAGGATGTCCTTTAATTCTTTATTAATTTAATTCAGTGTTGGACATTTCATTATTTTACCTAGGATTGGTGTTAAGACTGGCAGACTAGTAGTCCTGCAAAGAACTCCATGTTACATTTAAGATTCTTTCTTTTCTGAAACTTCTCTTAGTCTCCAGGAGTTATGCAAAGTTAATATTACCAAGCCACATATCAGCATTTAATATATTTAGAACACTTAAAGTCAAATTAGCTTGCCTGTTGATGTAAGGATTAAGCTGCACAATTTCTTTTATTCTGGCTTTTGGTTTCAGTTGCTCGCATCATTAGGAAAGCATCATCTCTGTGTCTGACATTTTTCAGGCTTGGTCTTTGCCATAAAATGTGTGGTTTTGTTGTTTTTTTTTATTATTTGGATAAAGTCGGTTTGGCTGTTTTCAAGCATGAATAAAATGAATAAATGTTTTCCCATTCTAAAGGTTCCTGACTTTTTAGTGCAATTTTAAATGTAAATAGGCAAAATATGATGGAAATAGTTGAGATAGAATAAATATTTTTCAGAGGATGTAACTCTTCTTGGTAAGTGCTTCTTTAATGGTAAAAATGCGAGTTCAGACTTTACCAAGCACAAGGAAAGTGCTAAACAGATTGAAGAGCAATGCCCTGAGAAATCTCAAAACGTGTTTGCTGGTAAGGAAGTACCAAAAGGGCTTTTTTTTCATGAGGTCCTCAGTTGGTCAGTTCTCATTCTAGCAATGCCTTCATCAATAATCCTAGCTGGAAAAAATCCTAGGTTAAGTGTGCAGATGATGCACTTATTGGAGAGTACTAAATAAGGGACTGATTACTTACAGAGAACAATCTGGATTGCCTGATTTAAATGTCCTCAGTCCAACAAATTATATGTTAATACAGCCAATATGAAATAAGACATCTGGGAGGAACAAATGCAGATTATATCTTTATGATAGAAAATTGTCTTGGAAGCAGACACAGAAAAAGCTTCTTGTAATCTCAACAAAATATTGTAGATTAAATACTATTTCAGCTTCACATGGACGCACATAAGTTGGGAAATTCTGTGTAGAGTACTGACTTAAAAACCCCAACACCCCCAAAACCCCACGACCTAAGACTTCTAGAATACTATGGCCAATTTTGATGGTGAAAGTCCGAGAAGGGAGGGGAATAGGAGATTGAAGAAAGCCACAAAAATGAACAAGGACTGGCTGAAACAGTAAAGTAAACAATGCTCCTAGAAATAAGTCATCTTTCTGAAGCAGGAGTTGTATCCAAATGAGGGGAATAGGAAAGAGCATTAACTTTGGCAAGTTAAATATAAACCATAATGAGGTAGGCCAAAAAAAATGTTGAGGAACAACTTTATAAAGACATTTAAAAAAATTAAAGCTTTTTGTCCAACTGTCAAAAGCAGAAGGCCTGCCAGAGATCCCAGTGGGCTGATAGATGGTCATAATATTACATGTGGGCTAAGGGAAGGTAAAGCCACAGCAGAGAAGTTATTTGCATTGCTGTTCACTTCAGCACAGTTCCCACATGGAGCCTTCCTTTCTGGGGGCAGGCTAGGGGAAGCTGACAGAAGGTTGACGTTTTGGAACAAACAGGCACAATGAATTGCTAGGAAAAAGTTCTCACTTTGTGAAGAGCTCAGTGGTGAAGTTGCCGAGTTACACATGGTTGTGTATAATCATTGCTTAATTGGCAATTAGAATGGAAGAATGAAAAGCAGTAAACGTGTCAGGCTTTTCAAGAGGGGCCCATGGAGTGTCTGGGGAAACTGTAGACTAGTAGCGAGCCTGGTTTCTGTATTAGGCACCTCAGTAGAAACTTGAAAAAAAAATTAGGATTAGTGTCCATTCACAGGAATAAAGGTGATGATAGAGAGGAGTCAAGTTGTCTTCTGCAGCAGGAAGCCCTACCCTGTAAATCTGCTCATGCTGTTTGAATGACTGGATGAGCATTTGATAAAGGGGATTGAGCTAATACACTATGCCTGGATTTCTTTTTAAAAAAACTAAACCAAATCACCAAAAAAGCCAACCAAACACTTGGTGTTTCATAGACTTTTGGGGAAATCAAACTGGTTTAATCCTGTAGTGAGTAGGTAGTGACTAGGTAAAGACTGGAAACTGTATGGAAAAAATAAGAAGACTGGACAGTACAGGGGCATTACCCCTGGAGTCCCGAAAAGAATGTGTGCTGGGATCTCTGCTTTTCCAAGTGCTCATAAACTGTCTGGGATGGAGGATGAATAATAAAGCACTGACACATTTTTCCAGGTCACACGATCAAAAGCTGGCTGTGGGGGATGTCAGAGGGATCTCACAGCGCTAAGTAATGGGGCTACAAAATAGCAGGCCAAATTCAGTTCTCATAGATGTAAGGCAGTGTTTGTTGAGAAGCTTAATCTGACAGCATGTACCTGTTGGTGGACTTAGTTATGCCTTGAAAATTGAGAAGGAGATGTTGGAATTGCTGTGGATGGTTCCGTGGCTTATTGATCAGCGATGGCTAAAAGACTGTGGATATACTGGGGGATAAATACAAACCCCGCTCCCCTCACCCCCAAGAATATATTATGACACTGTAAATTCCCATGCCTCTATCATCAACAGCACATCTAATTCTCTTCAAGTAATTTTGAAACAGATCTAGAAGAATTAGGTATATATAGTGGTAATAAAGACTAAACAAAACCATGGAACTATTTCCATGCTCAGAAAGACTGAATAGACATGGACTTTCCAATTTGAGGTAGAGCAAGCAGAAGTGAATGGCATGGACAGGATGTTTAAGTGATTGCTTCTCTCAGTACACGATTTGGAAGTCTTAAAAGTAAATATTGTGCACCAGGTTTAAAATAAAGAGAAGTGCTATTTCATGCTACTTCCAGTTACATTTTTCTGAGAATGAGTTCCAGAATGGGCAAAAGATTAAAAAAGAAAAAAGAGGAAAAAAAAAAAAAAAAGAAAAATAGGTACAGTCCGGTTCTATTGACTGTAAATATTTAGAAACAGGCATGGAAATCTCAGAGATACAGGAGGCTGGAACCTAAATGGATGTTGA